CAGCATTTCAACAGGTTTTTGATATAATAAAAACTCAATTTAGATACCGTTATTAATCTGCTGTAAGTTTTAGTTTGTTTGAATTTATTCATGATAATTATTGTACAAAATGGTATAAGAATGCAAACATTAAGATCTGTTCTGTTTAAATTGATTATAGTCTATCAGTTCAGAAACTAGTGTTGCTTGCATCCTATTTTAAAAGGCATTTCTTTTTATACTCTAATAAAATGCAACAAAAAATGGGTTTGATTCTATTAATGTTGTCTTTTTTTATTGCACTGTTGCTGCAGCAGATTACTGTGTAGCTTCAGATCTGAGTTGTCTTATTAGTAAGCCTAATTTATACTTTTGTAGCAACACTATTTGTATATAATGGCAAAGAAAGGGTTCTTCAGAGTCTTTTCTTTTTTTCCTGTGTCATATGTGGCAGCACTGCCACAAGTTTCTCTTCAGAGAGGGTCTTCAGTACAAGTGGCAATATTGTCACCTGCCTGCGCTCATCTCTGAAACCAGACCATGTAAACAGGCTGGTGTTTCTTGCAAAATATCTTTAAGAGATGACATGAGCAGCCCTACCAGCATTTGCCATGGTGGCCAAAACATTTTTATTTGGTCTTAAATTGTAGTTCAACATTTATTTCCTGTTACTTCTGGACCATGACGGTGGGCCAGCCTTCAACGTTTAACTGAGTGGAATATGTTGAATAAGTTTTACCAAAATGTTGGCTATATGTTAAGGAGTTTTCAGTAGGTTGTGACAGTGCACTGCAACATATTTGATTTCATTTATTTTGGTCTAATTTATTTTTATTTATCATATTAATATATGTTTAGTATGGTTTTGGAAGTGCACTCCAACATATTTATTGATCTTGTTTATTGGTAAAATATTATTTGTTTTAAAGTTCAATAAATGGTCAATGAATAATCGTCAAAATAATCGTGATATCAATTATTGACCAAATAATCGTGATTATGATTTTTGCCATAATCGCACAGCCCTATTCTTAATGATTCTGAGGAAGAGCCGCTAAGTAGTACTGTGTCATCTGTATTCACAGATCCAGAGGAGTCTTCACTGTACAGTCCACTTGTAGGGGTACTATTTAATGGTATCTCAACTGGGTACAAGACCACAGTTGTAGAATCGGGGTCTAATTCGACAACTTTGATAATTGTTAAATCTTTAATCGCATGTGTAGATGTAAGATTAACAAATGTGTTCCAAAAATCAGTGTCTTTATACTGTAGCCTTATGTAATCTTCCAATCCACATGAATTCTTGACCTCCTCAATGAGCTCTTCCATTGAGTTGGGAATCCCATTTCGAAGCTCCAGTCTGACGCTGTTGTGGTCGTTCAAGATGATCAGCAATCGAACAGGTGGTTCAATATCAGCCATGGCGCTCTAAGAGAAAAATAGAAATAGAGATGTGAAGAGGGAATTAATGAAATGCAGGTGTACACTCAATACATTCTTTCTTTTCAAATTGCATTGTGTTGTACTTTACAAAGTATTACATACAAAGTTCATATATATATATATATATATATATATATATATATATATATATATATATATTAGGACTGTCAAACGATTACATCACAGCTTAAAAATTAATTAATCATGATTAATCACCATTCGAACTATGTCCAAAATATGTCATTTATTTATGTATATTGTTGTGGGAATGGAAAGATAAATGAAAGAAGGCGGATATATCCATTTAACATACATGCATGTATGTTTATTATAACATTGTTCTGTGTGTCAAAATGAAAGACAGCCCACTAAAATTCGTTACTCAAAGCCTATACTTTATTTTAGGACAGTGGTCAACATTTTGGTGATGTAAAAATATATAACACGATGTTGTAAACTAAAGTTACATTTACAATATCTTTATCAATTGAACTTGAAAATTAAAATATAAGTCACTCGTCAATATGAAATTAACACACTTACTCTGTCCTTAAATTGACGTTTAACACCAGAATTTCTACTCTGGTAATAAATACAAATTCATAGTCTTATCTATTTATTTACAATAGAAAACACGCAGCCCGCCTGTTCATACTGTTTACAGGCCACCAAGCCTCAGTTAAGAAAAGGTAAAGTTAATATACTTAATGTTTGTCTGAGTATATTTACCTTTGAATCTGGCCATGACTCATGCTGGTAGACCGCTAACGCTAGCATGCTTTATTCAGACATTGACTTTAGCCTTTAGTCAGGGGCGGACTGGGACACAAATTCAGCCCGGGACGTTCAGACGCACCGGGCCGCCGCCCACGCATGCGGGCCACCCTTGTAGCCTACAGATAAATGAATGATACATCTACTATGCTCATATACTGTATACTGTTATGGCTAGATTCCCCAGAGTCAAGCCATAACATAAAAGAGATGGACAACAGAAGTAAGGTGCAAAATGAAACATTCCTTTAGTTAAGGTTTCTTAAAAATGTCTGTGTCATGTGTGAAGTGTGTCAAAGGGGCTGACTGTAGGAGTCAGTAACGTGAATGTACAATTGGGATTAAGGACAAAGTATGGGTATAGTCAAAAATGGTTGCCTGTGCCTGGCTGTAAACAAAAAGAAGTGCCAATGCACATGCAGCTCAGATATTCAATCAATGCCATGTGGTCTAACCAACAAATGATTCTAATAGTCATTATGAGAGCACAGTCCAGTATTAAATAACCAACTTCAAGGAATACAATATCATGCACAGTAATGTCAATCACTAAAATGAATGCAATAGTGAATTGGCCACACATCTCTGTGTCCTTATTATGCAATATTAATATTATTGAATATTAATATTATTTAATATAATTATTTAAAATTATAATATTAATATTAATATTATATAATTTAACTTGGAATATCATGAGCATATGACTCTATCCTAATGCATCTAACTGTATGCCCAATATAATAGTCTGGCCAGCCCTGCAGCCCGTTCTAGGTTCTGATTGGCTCTCTAGGTTAGCATTCTAGCTTCTGACTGGCTGTCCAGGTTGTCAATCACAGCCGTGGGCATATTATACTAGTCGTAACATCGCTAAACTTTTTTCTTGACGGTTTTCTCAGTCAACTAATGCTATTGCTAACAGTAACATAAATTAACACAGCCCTGCACCTGCTGTCATTATATGCCGGGTCTGTGGTTCATCATCTTCCTTCTCATTCTCCTCCTTATTACTGCGACTGGGAGCGGGAGCCCTTCTACTAAACAGCTCTGTGATTTTCGAAAATGTTCCAGCATCTTCGTGTAGCAATTTTGTTTTTTTCATTCTGGCTTTTTCAGCCCCACCCTTTCTTTTTTTACTGTTCTCCATCTTGTCTTTCTCAATTTCGCTAGCTAACTTACTGATTAATCATCAAACGAAGCTAGGGAGCTTGTCTGATGAGTGGACCTCTGACGCGGGCCTCGCCCTCTTTCCAATTGGAAGCGACGACTCATCTCTCCCGGCCCAACCCCTTCAGTTCATCTATTAGCCTACTTTCTAAAACATAAGATTGACAAGTTTGACAACCTATCAATAGCCCCGTTTACATGGAATGCTTTTCCGATCGTATCCGATCACTAAATAAAGCGATCCACGTTCACTACATGGGCCAAGCATTAAGCTGATTACAATTTCACCTGTACCGAAGTGGGCCGATCGGAGTGGGGCAGTGGGCCGCGTCGATTGGTCCGACCGGCCCACTTCGGTACCGGGCTACCGGCCCATCGGGATTCGTCCCGAACGTCCCGATGGCCAGTCCGCCCCTGCCTGTAGTCGAATTGGAGTCATGGGTGGGTAGTGTTTTTACAGTCCACTAGTTCGGTTAAGAACATTTAACGTTACAGTTAATGTTGTGTTGAGAAATATATGCTCTGCTGAGTGTTCTTCACTGGATAATGCGTGGTCTGAATAAAGCGTGCTAAACGTTAGCGCATGCTAAACATTAGCACAAGATAAACGTTAGCGCATGCTAAACATTAGCGCAAGCTTTTACGGCCTACTCAGTCAGTCACGGCCAGACACACGTAGGCTAACGTTTCCCATAAATAACGTTACATTTTCTTAAATGAGCTACCGGACTGTAGTAACGTTAGCCACCCATAAATCCAAGCGGGCTAAAGGCTAATGTCTGAATAAAGCATGCTAGCGTTAGCTTATAAGGGCTATCAACAGCCGGTAAGACCCACAGCCAGAGTCAACGGAAGATATACTCAGACAAGCGTTAACGTTTCGGTATGTGAAATTATATTTATATATATATATATATATATATATATATATATATATATATATATATATATATATATATATATATATTTATATATATATATATATATATATATATATATATATTTTAACATTAGTGTATCCTTACCAGTATCACATGTGCTCGTTTTCCAAGTGTCAAAGACTGGATAGAGGCGGATGAAGACTGCTGGTTACGACGATTACCTCTGTCACTACCATGGTCACTACCGATCTGCCCACATGATCTGCACCCCCTGCCCGATCTGTACTGCGCATGTGCGAGATGGTCTGCTACATACGGCAACCCAAATGGGACACTTGACACAATGGTCTTTGGCAAAGCAGAAAAAGAACACCCGACAATATTAATCTGAACGAGAGAGATTAGTTAGATTAGTTATTGTTATTACAACGTGACTTCATATTATAACGTGACTTCTCTATTATTTAACAACTATTTTTATTGGGTTCTTTTATTTTGGGTTAAGTAGATTGTCAGAATAAGTGAGAAATGGATGTAACTTCTGTTAGACTATCATACTGAATAAATATGTACTGTCAATGTATGCAAAAATATATGGCATTAATAATGTATAATCTAATTACATTAACTGTGAATGTTTCATTGTATTTAAAATGAAATAAAATTACATGAAAAAGTTGATTCAAGAACAAATCTGTTATTAGATCAGTACTTTTCAACGGTGTGGCCTGGCTTGGTTGAAAGCCCACTCACCACGACAAGGTGCAGGCCTGTGGAACTGCCTGAAACATAAACATGTTTTAAATATATGAGACCTACGGTATTCAGAATTACTTTACAACATGCATAGTGTAACATGGCTACAACCCCTCCTTGGGATGTTTACAATAAAGAGACAAGAAGCCCATTCCAATATTGAAGAAATTGCTACATACCTCAAACGCCGTCTCACTGTGCGCAGAGATACTTTTAATATCTGCGCCATCTTTGTAGCTGTAAAACCACAGCTCCTCAAAAAAGAGAGTTGCTCCCTCGAAATGCTGTATTGTGGGGGACCTCGGCCACCCAACAGAATGAGTGGGGCGTGGTAGCCAGAATGACCTGCAACAACAGCAAAAGATTAGATTACATTTATTGTCATTGTTGCATTTCTGTCGTTGTGCCGGAAACCCACACTTTAGTGTCATTGCCCAGCCAAAAGTTACAATGAAAAGGAAATGCAGTTTGGCATTAAACCAGTGGACATGCAACACACTATAGTTGTAGTATACAGTATGAACAAAAACATAAAATGTGGATGGGGATATATCCAGTCTCTGATAGTGTGACGTTATTATGACAGTGCTCTGTTTGATTCTGAAACTAAGGACTAAGACATGAGGATAGGAGTCGAGGAGGGGAATTAGTGAAATGAGAAAGAGCCAGAGACTCCCCCCTCTGGCGCACTTTCAATGTCCTCATTCCCACGTTTGATGATACGTGGTATGTGTTCTACAATGACAGCTGGCCAGACTTCCCACGATAGGGGAGGGGGAATAGCATCTAGTGCAGCAGGAGATAAAGGTGGAATTTGGAGTCAAGTTTTAAGGTTTCAGTGGACAACTCCAGACTCAGCGTCTCACCAGAATGTGCTAATTAATAGCTGGCAACTACAGATTAAAAACTTTTTTATATTGGTATTACCGATATTTTAATACAAAATAATTACTTTAACCCTCCTGTTGTGTTCGGGTCAAAGCTGACCGATTTACTACTTTCATCAATTATAACTTTTTAGTTTTACATTCGATTGCATTAAGGCGTTATGATATCCTTCACAGTAGACATTTGAATACAATTGCTGATCACCACTTTCATTGAATTTTGGATGATTTACTCAAAAATGACAGCCATAATGAAAAGGAATTAGTAACCATCCGGATCAGATAAAACACACACACACCCCCACCCCTTATGTAGCCATCCCCCCCATGTGAATCACACCTGGCACACGCAACAATTTGATACATTTCCTGCTCTTATGTGCCCATCCCCTTAGGTGTATATTCTTTGTATATTTACTGCAGTTTTTCATGTATACCACCAGTAGTCTGATACAATATCTACAGTTTGAAAGGGTGTTACATTAAATGTGGTGATGATTAATGGTTTTTGTGTTCATGTAATAGCAGTTAAACAGGACCTGTCACGAACACCAAAGTAACATCACATCGACCTACCTTGTTGTGCGGTTGTGGTAGGCCAAGATCTCCGGACTTCATCTATATATTCCCGAAGGTCCTGAAGTAAAAGATCTGTATGGACGTTAATTAGCCTGCCCCGTGACCACTCGATGCTCCTCTCCATTGTTTCTAACCTGCCAGTAAACGGTTTGGTGAAATAGGGGAGAAGACAGAATTTGTAAGTGTGAAAGATCTCGCAGCCCCTCAGTAAGTTACATGCAAAAACAAACTGCATTCCTTTGTGTTCGATAGTAGCGATAGGCTGGGCCCTTACCTCACTATTGTGGATTGTAACACAGCATGACCATCATCTGTTTGGAGAAGTCTTGTGCAGTCATTTATTGTCCTTTTGCAATGCAAGATGAAGTTTCTCGTGGACATTTTTCGACGAGTCTACTGTTTCTACAACTAAGATTCTTCTTCTGCCTTCTGCCTTGTGCCCAGGGCGGCCCTCGGCATAGGCAATATAGGCGAATGCTAAGGGCGCATAGGGGGCGCCGAAAAATAAATAAATTAGAAATTTTAAAAAAAACGTTTTTTATTTCATAACAACACAATTTCCCGATTTTGGATCAACAAAGTACATCTTATTATCTTATACTAACATAACTACGCCTATATTGCGTACAGCGCCCATAAACTATGGCACACCCCCCCCAAAATCAAGTTGAACTGCCCCAGTCCCAGTAAAAACCAGAGGTTTATGTGAAATTGTTCTTTTTTTAAAATAAGGGTTTTAGTGTGCAATTATAGGTTTTAATTTTGTATTTGTATTCATTTAAAATAAATCAAACTCCCAAAAAAACTTACACAGCTTCTGTGTGCTTTTATTAACATTGGAATTTACTGTGTAAGCGGCCGCGGGGGCGAGCTTTAGAGAGCTCTCTCCTGAAAGACTGAGAGGCTCTGATAACCTCAGCTCAGTGAGGTAAAGGCACACCTTTATATGATCATTATAGTTATAAAAAAATAAGAGAATAGGTGAAAAACAGGTATAAAATACTGACAGTACAAATAGGTTGTTATTAATAAACAAGAATACAGTTTGAAAGGGGAGTGATTTGTAAAATATCCATAAAGAAAAAGAAAATCTGCTTACAGTTCTGTTTCATATGGATGTTGAGAGATGTATCCATAGATCTCCTAATGTTGCTCTCAAAGTGCACCAGATTGATGCTTTTAACTTCAATATTTTAAAAAAAAGTCTTCCCGGGGGTGCATGCCCCCAGACCCCCCTAGAAGAGGTGAGGTCCCCCCCCACTTAAATCATGTTCAAATGGATAGGAAACTAAATACAGTTGCACACATCTTGTGTCAATATCTTTGTTTTGGTGGTCATGCCACAACCGTGCACACGCGAGTCATAGTGAGTGTCTGCATTTTGGGGGGGGGGGGCGCCAGCTAAAATATTGCCTAGGGCGGCAAATTGGTCAGGGCCGGCCCTGCCCTGCCCCGCCCATTTCTTTAGCTTCCGGTTTAGTAGACAACGAAAAAAGTAAACAATTAATTATATTTAGCCTTTAGGAACAGTGCTTTGTAATAACTCTCAGTACCAGATTAATTACCTAACCTAAACACATTTACTACCCAATAGCATAGTTCCATCCCCTGAAGACAAGGAATGTGTCATAGTAGAAATGTGCAGCCCAATGAAAGAAGGAAGCATAGAGCTTGTACATTTCTATAACCCGTGTAAAAATCTTCACATTGAAACTTTACAGACAATAGCAGGGACGAGTCATAGAAGGGAAGTATGGTGTGGTGATTTTAATGCTCACAACAGCCTATGCGGAAGCAGTCAAACAGACAGTAATGGTGATGTTAGAGGAAAGATAATTGTTTTGCCTTAATGATGGACAAAAAACAAGAATAGACGTGAATAGGGGGACACAATCATGTTTGGACCTCACACTTGTGACGGATAGTTTAGTTAAATCGTGTGAATGGAATGTAAACGTGACTATACCATAGGAAGTGATCATTACCCAGTATTCTCTATCATCAACACAAATAGGAAGTGAGTATATTTTCCAGGTGGTGCTTTGGTAAAGCAGACTGGGAGAAATGTAGAATTCGCTGTAAGGAGTCAGCACAATTGTTAGCATTAGAAGGAAGTATAGAGGAGTGCTCAAATCAAATCACAATGCACATTAAAGAAGCAGCAAATATAATTATACCAAAAAGAACAACAGAAGGTATAGGAAGAAAGTGGTGCCGTGGTGGAATGAGGAATGTAGCAGAGCTATTAAAGAACAAAACAAGGTATTCAGTAACTACAGACATAGCATTAACATCACACTTGTGTAAATGGATGGAGAAGATGACATAGACATGTCTTAGAACAAAGAGGGTTGCTGAGTAATTTCCAGACTGGTTTTCGCAAAGGAAGATCCACAATGCTTTGGTTAGAGTGATCAATGAGGTGGGAATACAGTGTGAAGACACTGAAAATGAAAGAGGTTATGGCAATAGTATATTTTGACATTGATAAGGCTTATGACTCTATGTGGAGGGATGGGTTACTCATCAAATTAAGTGACAGGTGACAGTAACAGTGACAGTAACAGGATCTTGGCTCAGACAGGAAATTCAGAGTTCAAGTAGGGGCAGAGGTTTCGAAAGACTTCAATATAGAAAATGGTATTCCCCAAGGGAGTTCAATCCGCCTGATATTATTTAACATTATGATAAATGACATATTGACTAAGTTGGACGGATGCATCAAATCTGCGTTGTATGCAGATGACGGGGACATAGGGATAAGGGGAAGAAATGTTCCAGAAGTGGTCATACAACTGGGGTTTCAAACTGTCAGCAAGCACATCTTGCTTCATGACATTTACAAATAAACGCAAGATGGAGACTGAGAAGCTTACATCATATGGAAAGCCGATGAATGAGGTCAATGCATTTAAATATCTGGGGCTATGGTTAGATAGTAAATGTACATGGAAAAACCATATTAAACATTTGGAAACAAAATCCCAAAAAGTTTTGAACCTATTAAGAGCAGTGGCTGGATGAGACTGGGGGCAGACAAACAGGCACTAATTGACATCTATAGGGCAATTATGAGGACAACTCTGGATTACGGGTGTATAATATATATGCAGCAGCAGCAAAAACGTCATTACTAAAAATGGATAGATTACAATATAAAGCATTACGGTTGTGTATAGGTGCAATCAACAATTAATCAATCATTATCACAATTACCTCAAAATATAGCCAACACAGATAGATAGATTCAACTTATTGTCATTACACAGTACAGGTACCGTGTAACGAAACGGTTTCTCTGCATTTGACCCATCCTAGTGTTAGGAGCAGTGGGCTGCCATTATGTACGGCACCCGGGGAGCAGTGTAGGGAACGGTGCTTTGCTCAGGGACAACTCGGTAGCACTTGGTCTTTCTGGGACTTGAACTGGTGACCTTCCAGTTGCCAAGCCCCTATGGACTTCGCCACCACCGCCCGATGGTTCTAAGAACAAGGAAGAGTGTGTTGGAGTTGGTATATATATATCCCAGACTTTAAAATATCAATTTCAAAAAGAGCGTCAGATCAATTATCAGTGTGCAACAGAAATGCTGGCTGTAATAATAGGATTACAGTGGGTTGAAGAGGTCAGACCAGATAGGGTGGTGATATGCACAGATTCATTATCCATTTTAAAAAGTATACAGTCAACAACAACTGTCAGAGAAGAATTACTCATATAACTTAATCTAGGAAATCATGATAGCTAGACTCAGACTGGATCACACAGCATTGAATGTTACTCTATGTCGTAGGAACTGTGGAGTTAAAAAAAATGTGGAACATATCATATTACACTGCAACATGTACAAAACAGAGAGGGAAAAACTAAGAGACAGGGAGAGTGGAGCCTGATGGGGATACTGGGAACAGAAGGTGAGGGGGTAAGAGCTACCAGGAAGGCCATTCTTAAGTATTTGAGTGAAAAAGGATTGATTGGAAGAATTGAAAACAACGTAAACACAGTGGTATAATTCCACAAGTGCTGACAGGATGATATGTTGATACACGCTCTTGTACAGTAGGGGGCGGTATGCACCTTAAAGTTGTTTGCAATCCGCCAAAAAACCGAGAGAAGAAGAAGAAGAACGATTATACATCCATGGAACGACCAGACACATGGCAGCAACGTTCCCATCTGCTTCATTCATGTCTCCTGTTCAACAGGTTAGTAGTGTGGACACAGATTATGTCATATTTCGATCAAAGAAGTGTGTTTGAAACTGTTTTATGTGTAGTTTAATGTCATTCTGTGAGCTACGCCACTAGCGTGTGGCTAATGGCGTCCGCTAGCTTCTTTAGCGCAGGCTGTTGCTCCCTGAATAATGTAGGGCTCTACCATGTTACCATGTGTATGACTCCCTTGCACTAGTTTGGCTTACATTTCAAGTTTATTCTGTTTGTATAAATATGTGAAATGCTGGTCTGAGGTCATAATTGTTCATATTATTTAAATGCTAAAGCGCTAATGCTATGCTAATAGTGTGCCTGTACAACATAGCAATGTTAAAGTGAGTACAGTCGACCGGGTTGTATGTGTTATCTGTAATCACTGTATTATATACTGTAAATGAAAAAGGCTTTAATCCTTCATCAAAGTCATAATATGGCATGTGGATTTATGTCCATTTTTTATTAGAGACACATGTCATACGGTTATTTTGATTTGCTAAATGTATGTTTACATTCTCAGTTAGCTTCAGGCCTCACCGAGGCGAAGTATTGAGGTAGAAAGCTGGTGAAGCCATTTCCTGCTGTCATTATATTCTGTTTGCACAGATAATAAACCTGGTTGACAAGAAGGAAGTCGTTTTCATTCGACACAACGCAGAGATACATGTGGCGTCAATCCAGACCGGTTACACAAAGAATGATAAATAGAGAAAACAGATATAATTTGTAAGTGAATTTATTAATTTGTTTAATACATTCTGGCTAGAACGACCACACAAACGGCAGCAACTTTCCCTCTGCTTCATTCTTTTCTCCTGATCAACAGGCTTATTATCTGATTACCAGCTCTGCACAGCGGACTTGTAACACTAGCAGCAGTGGAGATGGAGCATCAGAACCTGGAGGCTTCTACTCTCCTGAAGAAGAAGAATACAGCAACAAGGATCCATTTGAAGATAGGTAAATGTAAATATTACAGTAATAGTGTACTTGCATTGTGTGGGTGTAAGGGTGTAACTTTGGTTTGCGAAGTGGGGGGGGGGACACAAAACAGGGGGCAATGAAACATTTTCTCAATTTAATTCCATTTCCTGCCTTTCTACAAATATATTAGGGACTATAGTGTTAACAAATCCAAGAAAAATGTGTAGTGTATATAATGAGTGTGCACACTTATCTAGTATCCTATCCATGTGAACCTGTTTTATTTGTGATGACCTCACATCCTCTAGGGGGGGTACTAGTATATATTTCAATCATCAAAAATCCTGCT